ATATGAGGCACCAGCACAGTGCCTGGCACGTGATTTGTACCTAAAAAATCACCACCTGCCATCACACCTCTTCTCTCCACTCCAGACCCCACCTCAGAGAGATATTTTTTCTAAGAAATCGCTTGTATAACACACACACTTAGAACTTTCCAGATGTGATGAGCAGTGACAAGTCTCTGCTGAAGTCTGGATGAGTGCTTGCCTCTTTTCAACTCAAAGGTGAATTTCCAAATGAAAGAGAATTTTCAAATGAAAGAGTAAGTCAACTACTTTTGACATTGTGCCAAGGGAAGTTGCTTGGTCAAGTTTAAGTGTGAAAGGATAGTTTCCCAAATGAGAGGAATTTAGAAGTTACAGAAGATGATTGAATAGTCACATCCCTATTTAGCTACACAGTATTCAAAGCTTAAAAAAATTAATCTACATTTTTATAAGAATTTTTTAAGGACAGGAGGTGTCAGATGTTCTTAGCCTAGAATGTCAAAGATAGAACAAATTTCAAAGTAAGTAATAAAACAGTCATAAAATAGTATATACAGCCATAAAATATATTTTTTGATACTTACATCCACGATTATCTTTATTCGTTGCTATAAGTTGTGCCATGAAAGGAATGTTCAAAGCTCAGCTCCTGCATTACTGCCTCTGGGAAGATTTCTTGTGCCACCTCCTTCAAGGCCATGCACTTGGCTTTGGCTTCCTGCCCCTGCCCCCTTGGTGCCGCAGCAGTATCCCTTCCCTTTCCTAGCACTCTTCACACTACGCTCAGATTGTTCTTTCACCTCCCTGCATCCCTCACTAGACTATAAACTAGTGAGATAACATTCTATTGGTTTTAATATCCCCATAGCCTAGCATACAGTAGGCACTCAATAAATACTGGCTGAATGAATTCATTGTAAAATAACAATAAAATAGACTGTGGGCATTTTGGAAATTCTTCAAAATTCTAACTTTAACATGTTTTTCATTTCTTCTTCATCAATTTTTTTTTTTTTTTTTTTTTGCGGTACGCGGGCCTCTCACTGCTGTGGCCTCTCCCGTTGCGGAGCACAGGCTCTGGACGCACAGGCTCAGCGGCCATGGCTCACGGGCCCAGCCGCTCCGCGGCACGTGGGATCCTCCCGGACCGGGGCACGAACCCGTGTCCCCTGCATCGGCAGGCGGACTCTCAACCACTGCACCACTAGGGAAGCCCTTCATCAATTTTATGATGTGAGACAAAGCATCGGAACATACTCTTTCCTTTCCCTTACCCTAAAAAATGAATTTTCGGGAGTTCACTTTTTCTCAGTAGCACTTTGTTCAGGATTGTGCACACAGAAGGTATCCATTGAATGTCTGCTGAGTAAAATGCGGCAACGATGGATACATCTGTGATCGTTGGGTCTGATTTTCCTGTAGTCACCATCTTACCATGGCCAAACCATACTGCAGGGTTTTTTTTTGACACTGACGACCCAAACACTCCCTGTAAAAGTCTGTCATTATTTATACTGCTCACATATCAGTTTATGTCTGTGAGCAGAATAAATCTGAAGTATATAACAAATGCAACACATCTTCACATCATCCAAGCCTTACGAGCACGGGTTAACATGCTTGCAGCGGGGTCAAGTTCATGTGACAAGCTTCCCATGCCAAGAGCCTCCATTTATGGTATGAATTCAAGTACCATGGTCATATGGCTTACGACCTATGTTCATTCTGGTTTTTAAAGGAATGGATCTGAAGAATAAAAAAATACTTACACGGTTGGCTGCATTGTTTCTCTGATTTTTCTATATGCTAGTAAGGGTGCAGATCCTACTCTCTGTATAATTAAAGAAACAAACAAAGAAAGCTGAAGGTTTCCACCAGAGGGTGACTGCTTGGGGGTGGGTGTTGGAGTGAGGGTACAAGATTAGAGCACATGAAAAAAACATCAAATTTGGCCACTGAAGTTCCATCCCTCTTTGCACTATGAAATACCTGCTGGCTCAGAGCCAACCATGTAGAAATGGTTTCATCTTCAAGCCTGAGAACGAGCAAATCATCAACAGAATTCATTTACATTTAGGCAATAGCCCTGATTTTGTGTGTGTCTGTATGTGATCAGCATATTAATTTATTTTCAGAATGAAAAAGAATAAGAATCAATAAATAATACAGAACTCAACATTTCTAGAAGGTACAAAGCAGAGAAGGGACTCTTGTGACTGAGGGAGAAGAGTGACATTTAAATGTATTATTAAAAAAATTCTGTAATAAACAGTTGGAACCATTTTCGTTCATTATGACATCTATGAAATGAAAGGTCTTTTCGTTTTTTTCAGTAGAAAAGAAGCCAAAGGGAAAAAATTCTGAGGTCATGTCAGGAAGTCACAGGACGAAGCCACCTCTGTAGCAAAGGGTGGCTGGGTGTTTTCAGAAGTGATTTCACTTGTGACACTGTCCTTATGAATTTTCAGCTTCAGTGAAAAAAAGTCACTGAGTTGTGTTTCAGGTTTAAGACACCCGTTAGAACCTTATTTCCTTTGGCAACTCCCAGATCAATGGAATAACATGTTTTTTTTTCTTCATACATGAACCAATGTGTGTGTACTCAGTAAGCCCAAGGAAAAATCTTTCTCTTCTGAGAAACTCAAGGCATAAGCTAAAGACAGCCATTTGAAAATGCTTCACAAACATCTCACATATGAATTAACACCAAGAGACATAAATATGACCAAATAAATGTAAACACAGTAACAATGAGGCCAGTAACAACATATTTGCCGTGTACTGCTCTGAAACCCCAAATCACATTAAAACTCATTAGCAGATAGTTTGCAAAGGAGCACAGAAATCATAGAGCTGGAACTCTTTGGAGATCATCTCGTACTTCAACAACTCTATCGTTTTATAGATGAAAAAAATGAGACAGATTAAACGCCAAATCTAAAGAAATCAAGGGTAGTGGCTGAGTTGACAGTAAAACTAAGTCTCTTGATTCCAGACGAGTTCACAGTCAACTTCAATTTCAATCACGTTTTAATGGAGTAGGCAGCAGAGGGACTCTGAGAAAGTCATATCACATCAGATCATGGTTTCACATCACTCTAAGAGCAAGCTGACATTTGAGACGCATGGAGTAAGCAGTACATTGCCAGATTCACTTGCGCATGATAATGCAGAACAGAAACCCATCACCATGTTTCTGTATGGAGTGCAATGGTTTGTTTTCAGTTCATGCAAATACGTGATATTTTCAGGTTATATTAAAGATCCAGTTTTAGCACTACAAATGAGGGAGTGGTGTGCATATCCTGAGTAGAATTCTAGTCACAGGAACACTAAAAATAACAAGTTATTTAGTAATTATGAGCTCCCCTGCTTTACAGGAGAAACCGTGTAGAAGAGTGAATGAAATCAGCAAAGGTTTCAACTCACCCAACCTAAGGCCTGGCAACCCTAGGCTGTGGCCATCTGCAGGCTGCTTTAATGCGCTATAAAACCTTGTGGGTGGACAGGTGGGGATGCTGATGAGGTTTTCATACCCTTTCAGTCTCAGAGTCAACATCTGACATCAAGACAACCCTCACTAGATGTTTTCCTGTACCCTAAGATACAGAATTCTGAAGAGTTTTAAAAATCACAGTCATCCCCTCTGAAAAGGGGATCAGAATGAAAGCTGAGGTGCCGAGATATATAGGAAAAACACTTGTATCTGCGTGGAGACTGGCGTGAATCTAATTTTGTCAAAAACTACACAGCTTTTCTCAATCAGTTCTCATATTTCTTATCCTTGGCATTATTTTGCCCCTTGGAAACATGGAAACACCAAAAATGAGCTCTAGAGACAGGTGAAAATTAAGACACATATCTTATTTGTAAATGTCATCTGGCAATCACAATAGTGACATATTTTATTTTACCTAACAGCCTTTTCTTCCAGCAAAAAATTTTTATGATCTTTTCAAAGTACCAGCAGCTAACATTATTAATAAACTCTTGCATCTGTCATCAATTTCATTCATTTCTGCTCTTGTTTTGATTATTTATTTCTTTGGATATAATGAATATCATTAGGGTTTATTTTACAAGTTGATCACTGAATAATGGATATGAAAAAAAGCCTCAGTACCGGCTCAGCGCATATTTAAAAGATTATACTTTATATAAACAAGAGGCTTATAGAAAGAAAGAACACTGTGCAAAGGCATTGATTAATAGATGTATGCTTTTGGAACACCAAAATCCCAATCTTTTAAATGAATAAATATATCTTTTGTTTTTATTTTTGAACATATGTAAAGTAACCACTTATCTCTCTTTAAAAAGACCTATACCCCCTAGGCAAGAATATCTTTGTTTAAACAGTTTCTTTCTTCCTTTTTTTTAAAAAAAAAGTATTTAGCACACAGGTTACATTAAATTTGTCCTTAAAGACAGAGCCAAGCCAGGAATGTTTTAGCAAAACCCTGTGAGTTAATACACTGCCTCCAGGGCTGTGATATTTCTTAATAATTAACGGCTTTTAAAACAGCCTGGTCATCATTTCATGATTAATAGGAGGGGGTACAGGTACCTGTTTTGGAAAAAAGGCTTCAAATCCAAGATGAAAAAGAGTAACATAAATTTTACAAAAGCACTGCTTAGAGAATGACAAGGATAGTTTGTTTGCTTTACAATGCAGGTTTGTAGGGTCTTTATTGTTGTTTGAACTCTTATTATCACACACCAGCTTTTCTATGCTGATCAATTACAGCAAGGGTCTCTGGAAAATAGGACAGAGTGGAAGATATTCCATCTCCAAACCTACCACTAAGATGGAAATTTATTTTTTAATGAAAGTGAGATTATTAACTGTGCGGGGTGTGTAAACATTTAGACACGCAAGTGTTTCTAAACTAATTTTTGAGATAAATAGGAAATCCCAGACAGAGTGCATTCCTGGCTGAATCCCATTCTAAGGAGACTGAGTGTGGTGTCTGTTCAAGGCAGGGAGGATGAAGGGTGGCTGAGAAGCAGGGGCTCACCTGTATTCTCCAAAAGTGCCATCATCTTCCTTCATAGGTTGGATTTCAGGATCCGCATGGGCATCTTCCTTTTCTTTAACTAAAAAAAATTCCAAAATGACATTATTATCTATTGATCCTGTGTTTCCTTATTCAATGTTTTCAGGAGTGCACTCTATGAGATATACAGCAGTGGGAAATAATTCTATACACCATAGAGTTATACAACCAGATGTATCATGTGGCTATTTATTTATTTACTTGCCATGTGGCTTGCAGATCTTAGTTACCTGATCAGGGATTGAACCCGGGCCACGGCAGTGAAAGCCCGGAATCCTAACCACTAGGCAACCAGGGAACCCCCATGCATATATTTTGATGTTCTAGTCTCTTGGAGGTAAATTTGTAGAATGAACATCTAATTAACATACAAAGTTGACTTCATATAAAAAGCATTTTGCGGGCTTCCCTGGTGGCGCAGTGGTTGAGAGTCCGCCTGCCAATGCAGGGGACACGGGTTCGTGTCCCGATCCGGGAAGATCCCACATGCCACGGAGCGGCAGGGCCCGTGAGCCATGGCCGCTGAGCCTGCGCGTCCGGAGCCTGTGCTCCGCAACGGGAGAGGCCACAACAGTGAGAGGCCCGCGTACCACATAAAAAAAAAAAAAGCATTTTGGCACAAGTCTCTTACCTGCTAAAGGAATAAGTCTGAAGCTTCTAAGATTTCCCTCTATTTTACCAATCTATCTATTAACTATATTCATGGTTACAAATTGTTTTTGTAAATCTAATTTTTTGTAGATTTTTTCTCTGCCACTGGAGGGGAAATGGCCAGGTAAAGAAAATAGAAATTCACTGGATCCACTAAATTGAACAAAACATTAACCATATAGGGAAAGCAACAGTACACATCATGATATCAAGATCCAGTTCATGCATCACTTCCTCTGGAAAACTTGAGGTACCTTCTCCCTCTGCCTGTTGGTTTTAGGTGCTATTTCAGCACCTATGACTCATGTAAAGCCCAAGGAAGCAGAGTCACTAAGACCGTCAGAGGGCTGATTCATCTGCTCCCCCAAGTGTCTTCTGATCCTTGGCAATGTTGAGTCTTCCATTACATACAAAGGGATCAAAAATTGTTTGAACAGAAAGTCCAAATGTATGGCTCTTGGGAGGATACACTCACTGCAATCTCTGTGATTACTCTCATGATTTCTTTTTAGTTTAATGGCTCATCATGCAGCATTATACGGCAATTTCAATCTTTCTTTCTTACCTGGATATTTACCACCTTTGTTTCTTCTGATGAAGCAAACAATCAGCAAAATTAAGATCAGGAGAGCGACAGCACACATTAGACCAATGAACCAGCCCTGTGTCGCTATATCCACCTGCCGGCTTGCCATCGCTGGAAAACAAATCAATGGCGTCAGTGTGAATGGGTTAAGGGAGCGGTGACAACTGTTGCAGTCACTTGTAGTAAAAAAAACTGCCATAGTACATAAGCTTTTCCATATTTTACATGTGGCCCCGCCTTGGAATCTGTCAGTTATCAATCAGGAGTTACATAAATACTTAACTCTGAAAAATCTTCAATAATTAAAACAATTCAAATAGAGAAATCCAACTGCTAACACCATTCAATGCTAACAAACCCTGCTGAGCATTGTTTTCATGGTTATTTTCACTATATATTTTCAACAGAAACACAGTCCCAAACCAATTAAAATTTTTATTGTTTTGGGGATAAATTGTACATTAAGTACAATGATAAGACTAGAAAACCATTTTAAACAGAACAGAAAGTATACATCTAATTGAGTATTTTTCTTTCAAAGGAACCACTCTGGGAGGCTAAAATATCATCGCAATGATGTTGCAACTTTTCCAAATGTGTTGGAAACCTTCTGTTTAAAGAGGAAACTTTCCACACATGAAACCTGTCCACATAAGATAACCAACCTTATTATTTTCTATAACATCTCGACTTGCACCCAAAATATTACTTAGATTTGTTTTTCATCTCATTTGTTATTCATCTCATTTATAAGAGTTGGTTCTGAAAGATCTGGGGAAATTTCTGAAAAATCCTATTTACCCTCAAAGGATCAGTAAGCAATATTCAATATCGTTCAGAATCCAATCAAAAGACTCTGAGATATATCTTGATCAGTGGTATCATTATCGGAATAAGTGGCCAGTTTAGAAAGAAAATACTCATTCACATGTATACATGTACTTTAAGTCTTCCTCTATTCTATTTTGAGTCAAATAATGTGAAGCCCCTTATTCAACCAATCACAGTATGCAAATCTCCTAAGAAAAACACAGAATAATTAGCATTACCAGCATTATTCAAAAGTGTCAATCAAATGGGACAAAGTGCAGCATCAATGGCTATTCAGACAAGCCCATGAGAATTTGTTGAAAACACTGGTATGAATCTTTTTTAAAAAGGTCTTGATTTTTTTCTCTTTTGACCATAATCAAGGTAAAAGGTTTTCGTTTTTTTAATTCAGAAGAATGCCTATATCATTTTTTTTGATTCAATTTCTTCTGAATCCATTTAACATGGTTGGGTTAGATGTATGTGACTGCTGGATGCAGAAAGAAGCATGGCGACACCTATCCCAGGTTCTGCTCTATGCTGCAAAAATAGCACCTCATTGCCTTTTTTCCCCACCCAAAGGATAGGGAGAAAAATGAAATATTTAAAATCAAGTGTGAAGACAAATGTGAAAAATATGTGGATGTGTGTTGAAGAAATAAAATGAGAAGTGGAAATACATTCTCTGGAATATAAATCAAATTGCCAGTAGCCTTTCCCCAATAGCCCCTTGTGTCTCATTGGTTATCGGGGTTTTGAGTTGTATCATCATTAGATACAATGAAACATGAGGATGGGCAGGGCTCCTCTACCATACATGTACCATAACCATCATCGGGATGAAGATGAAAACAATGATAACGAGAGCTAGCATTTTGAAACTTATTCTATACTAGGCACTGTGATGAGGGTAAAATCTCATTCAGTCTTCACAAAAATCCTGTGAGGTAGGCATGAGGAATAAACCCATGCTCAGAACGGGTAAAGACTGTGCCTGAGAGTTGGAGCTTCACCCAAGACTGCGGACTCCAAAGAACATGGTACCAGCCATTATGCGCTACTGCTATAATGCACTGATGTCCAGGCATCAACTCTGCAGAAGTCTTTACAGAGAATAAAATGTTGTAGCGACTTTCTACCTTTGAAATATTTTAAAAGTCCATCAGTACATACTCTTTGGGAACACAGTTCTGTCGATTCACACATGGTCTCTGATATGGACATTTTCTTTGAAACTGAACCAAAAATCAACCGGTGTAAGTCTATGGAGCATTTGACTGAAGTTACAGAGTCCTTGTTCTTAATATGCTTAATGATTTACAGCCCTTTAATAAATAGTATCTACATTTACGTTTTTCATCTAATTGAATGCAACTGATAAGGGCAAACGGCAATAAGATCCTCAAGTATTAGCATAGACACAGTCTTAATAGACATGGTAACTGTCAAAATTGAACTGCCGGCTGGCAGTCTGCAGCTATGCAACTACGAACAAAGTAGAAATGTTTCTTGACAGCTGATAAAGAAACATCCAAGTTGACTTTGAATTTTTGCCCCTATGTCTAAAGAAAAAAGTTTCAAATATGTCACTATCCCATTTATTTAAGACTGGGCAGACACAGTATGTTAAGAGATGCACGTGTATGCATGCTCACACACGTATACATACACACACACAAACGCACCAGAAGTTGATATAAAACAAAAATTATGTAAGTGAAAATAGCTTCTATTGATTTCCCATCCATATGAAAAGGGATCTGAAGCCCAGAATGACTATAAGAGGCTCCAAGTGTTCCCAGGACATTCCAAAATCATCTTAACTAGAGATACATATACAAACACAAGACATGGCCACCACTGTGCATCTCACACACACACACACACATAATGAAGCCTGTGAGGCTTTCTCTTCTTGAATCTGAGTTTCAATGGGTGGGTAATATAGTAGGATTGGGTAGGAAAGTGACAGAGGATTATCCCTTTATTTAAAACTTTTACAGGGCTTCCCTGGTGGCTCAGTGGTTGGGGGTCCGCCTGCTGATGCAGGGGACACGGGTTTGTGCCCCGGGCCGGGAAGATCCCACATGCCGTGGAGCGGCTGGGCCCGTGAGCCATGGCCGCTGAGCCTGCGCGTCCGGAGCCTGTGCTCCGCAACGGGGGAGGCCACAGCAGTGAGAGGCCCGCGTACTGCAAAAAAAAAAAACAACAAACTTTTACAGTAAAATTATATTCATGTATTACTTGAATAAGCCATAGAGCAACACATTAAACAAATAGACAAATATAAAGAATCCGAAAACAGAAAAGAAGCCAGGGGCATGAAATTGATTTTGTTTCCTAGAAGTTAGTCTTAATAACAACCTTCTCCATCACATTGCTTGTTGTCTCATGTTTAACCTGTGCTGTGTGGGAGTAGGTCTCTGAGGAAAACGTCCTTGAGTACTTAGAATAACAGAACACAGAAGACAACAGACTCACAGACTTAGAAAACAAAGTTAAGGTTACCAAAGGGGAAAGGTGGGGAGAGGGATAAATTGGGAGATTGGGATTGACATATACCCACTACTATATTTAAAATAGACAACCAACAAGGGCCTACTGTATAGCACAGGGAACTCTGCTCAATATTGTGGGATAACCTAAATGGGAAAAGAATCTAAAAAAGAATGAATATATGTATAATTGAATCACTTTGCTGTACACCTGAAACTAACACAACATTGTTAAACAACTATACTCCAATGTAAAATAAAAACTAAAAAAAATTTTAAAAACATGGAGGAAAAAGAGATAAATGGTTATTTTTGAAGAACCCATTATGTATAAAAGTGTCCTGTTAAAGTAGTTAGAAATGTTTAGAAAGGGAAAACAATGACCTTGGCCAAAGTTTGGAGGCAGTTGACCAAAAAAACACAATCCACTAAAAAAAACACCCCAACTGTTGGGCCCAGTGAAAGCAAATCTGCTCTAAATCTTTTGTGAAAGGAGAGAAGAGACACAATGATTGAGGGAAGGAGGGGAGAAAGCAAGAGGAGGTGGGGTCTTAACAAAAGTGTGGGTGAGAAGCATGACACCAGGACACCGCCTCTAGTCTCCTTTGTTTTCCAGTGTGTGCCACAGGAAAAGAAATTAAGAAATAGACCTTAAAAATCCAGACTGTCAAAGGCAGAGACGGTGTCACGCTAAGAAGATTCATAAAACAAGCACAGATGAAAGTCCAGTCTAGGTTCCTGAAATACGCAGAACTCAGAGAGAGAAGGAGCTCATTCATGCAAAGAGTTAAAAAATCAGCCAGGATGGTATGTTTCCACGCCAAGTACTGGCATTCACACCTCAAAACCTAGCTGGAGGAGCGAAAAGCAAGAGCAGCAGAAGACAGTACTGTCGTCCTGGAGTTCATCCTTACAGGACAGACATGGAAACCGGAAGCACACGGAAGTTGGATTAACAGTACTTATCCTGGAGGTAATATGTTAACTAAAGTCACTAGGGTTTAATGGATATTCATTCTCTCCCGTCAAAGGTGACGAGAAGTGGTTATGGCCTTGTCCTATTTCTCCTTCGTTGGCACACAAGAATGGCCCACCCATGATGGTTGTTCATCTTGAACTTACTTGCCAGCCACAGCTGTTACTTTAGGTATAATAACACCGAAGACAAAATGTTTTTCCAAAGGGTTTGCCCTCTGTGCTAGAAGAGGACCAAAAAAATATGCCACAACTTGATTTTGTGGGTGGAATCCAATTCTAGCTAGATCTGCAAGGTGGGGAGTACACGGGGGCCATGAAGGGTGCTGGAAAGATGCCGCAAGTGCTGAACAGAGTGGTCATTTTTGAGACAACCTGTTCCCCTTGGGATGTGGGCCTCTGTGGCCCTGAACAGGGAGTGTAGTGAGAGCCTCTCCTCAGTGTTGAAAGGCTGAGCTCTCTGCGTTCTAGCTGGGTGACAGGGTAGGCCCTCTACCTCTCATTACTGGTCGTTGACGTGAGGTGTGAGTGGGTAACAACACTGTCTCCTTCAAAGGATTGTTGTAAGAACCAAATGAGAAAAGCCAAGAAAACCATTCACCTAGTACAGATTAGCTCTGAATAAATGCTAGGGCTGTTATTATTAGCATTCTAGCTGTAAATATGGGCAGAATATCTACTTGAGTTTTTAGTATTTTGAAATTAAAATCTCTCGATAATAACAAACACCTCATCACACTAGCTGTGAATGGATATTCCTCTTTTAAGTTTAGAACAGTATTTTCCTAGAACTCTGTACGCAAGTGGATATGAAAATCAAAAAAAAAAGGG